TCCCTCCCCCTTCTCTTTCCCCTACTCCTCCTCCTGTTCCTTCTTCTTCTTTCTCTCTCTTCCCCCTGCACCCCCCCAGCTCCAAGGACTCTTCTTTTGCATCTATAACTCATTTTCTGAGCCCATTTCTTCTACAGCTTACTTCTTCTGCCTCTGTGACTTTCTAAATAAACTTTCTCTTACAGTTTGAGTCTTGGCTTTGAATTATTTCTTAGCCAGAACCCAAGTACTGAGGTTGCAGAACCTATGTCCAACACCTGGTGCTGTTTCATAGCCGATAGAGGGGCTTTCTCTGGAGCCACCACTCGGAAGATTCTTCCTCACTCTGCTACTAACACTCCAGTGCATGCAAGGGTCCACTAAGGAGGAAGGCAAGTAGAAACACTCAAGTTTCAAGTAGCAAGGAAATCCAGAAATCATCACCAGAGTAAGAAAATCACTGCGTGCCACTTCTTGGCTCCTTCAGGACTTTGTTGAGTCTAAGTCCTGAAGCATTTCATAAATCAACAATAAACTTCTTATTTCTTACTATGTACTTGGAGTTCTGGATGGGAATTAACTAAGGATTTCTCCATCTTTTCCAGTCTTAAATTACAATGTGGCTTGCTTTAGGGTAGGTAGAATTGAAAATGCATAAAGGAGCAATTAAAACACAAATTTCCAAACATCTACACAAAGAACCCATCATTAACACAGTGAGATATAATGCCCCCCAGACAATCTTTGGTTAATTAATAGTTGGTTCAAGACAGAAAACGAAGTGTTGCCAAGTAATTTGCTAGCCAAATAAGTCAAGGGCGCGATAAAATACGGTATAACAATTTAACAAGTGACCTACTTTAAAAAGCTCACTGAAACCACTTGCATGGAAGGTCGAAGAGAAACACTACTTCAGCATTACAGACTTTTTCTGGGTTAAAGAATGGCCGTAGAATTAACTACATGTGTGAGATTGCTCTAATTATTCTAGAAGAGTCCCATTCCTATAATACATTTTCCCAGAGAAAAAGTGACATATGTAATGTGTAGT